GTGTACAGCGGGGCCGGCAGGCCCGCGCTGCCCCGCCCCTGGCGGTAGCACTCGCCCCGCCCCACCATCCGGACCTTGACGTCAAGGGGGCCGCTACGGAGAGTGGAACGCGGAGTCCGCGTTTCCTTGGAAACGGTGATGGGGACGGAGACGTCTTTGTGTGCTCTGACATCATTACGCTACCGTCCGTGAGTTCCCGGAGCCTGGAGGAGGGGCTCGGCCAATCCGAGGGGAGAGTGACGGAAGTGATATTTATCGAGTGCTGTCTGTATACTATTTCCTTTGGCCTTACAAGACTGCGCATTTTGTAGATAAGGAAACTGAGTCATATTTGCCGAACTCCTTGGGGTCACAATACGTTGAAGTGGCTTCGAGCCAACTCGCTTGGACTACCCTAGGCCGCAGCCTCAGGCCCCAAATTCCGCTCTCTTTCCGAGCCAGACCTTGGCCCCTTCCTTCCACCGGAGTCTTGACGAACGGCCCAAAAGCCGGACAGCTGCTCGGAGAGATAAGAAAAAGCAAGCCAGCATTCAGTCGACTCAACGGGAATCTGCACGCACGTTCCTGAAGACGTGCTCGTGCGCACGCTAGGGCTGTACATGGGCGGGGCCTCGATCTCTGGTCCCGCCCAGCAACAGTGCATTTCCTCTTCCGACGAAAGGCGGGGCCTCGGCGCCCGCGGAAAACCCAGACGAGCGGTGCTGGGCTAAGTGCAGGTACGGGAATGGCGGGCTTGAGGAGCCTGGTCCTGCGGCCCTGGATTCGAGAGCTGATCCTGGGATCAGAGACACTCTCAAGTCCGCGGGCGGGGCAACTGCTCCAGGTGAGCCCCTCACCCCTCTCAGGGTCTGGGATCCGGACCGGAGCCCGCGGGCGGTGGGATTGACGCCTGTCGCCGCCGTCAGGTACTGCAGGATGCTGAGGTCCCGGGTCCGTCCCGCGTCCCTGACACTTCTGATGTCGGGGCTGCACTGCTTGTTTCCGACGGGGCTCACAGTGTCCGATGCCTGGTGACACAAGAGGCCCTGAACGCCTCGGACTGGTGAGAAAGGCGCAGCGGGGCCCTGGGGGATTTGAGTCAAGCGGGGAGCGCGAGGTGGGCGGGCCCCAGGCAGGAGGGGCTATTTTCTCTCGCTCTTAAGTAGTGAGGTTCGCACTCATCGCAGGGAAGAGAAAGAGTTCGGCTTCCGAGGGGCGGAAGGTCGGCTGCTGCTGCTACGGGACTGTGGGGTCCGAATCCAAGTCGCCGAGGGCGGCCCGGTGAGTGGTGAGGTTGTCTTGGGCGCGTTACTGGGCCCAACTCTTCGAGTCAGCTCCTGAGACCCGTCCCTGAACTCATCCCTCCAGCCTGCAGAGTTCTACCTCCAGGTGAACCGTTTCAGCCTGCTGCCCGCGGAGCAGCCCCGGGATTGGGTGACCAGTTGGTAAGTAATGTCTCCACCCTCCAACTGTTCTCCCCACCGAAGCCTGGCTGGCGTTGGTATAGGCCTTTTGGGTATAGGCCTTTTGGGAAGGCTTGGGCTCCTAGTAATATTAACTGCTTATCACCTTCTTTTTCTTAGCAACCAGGACCCGGATGTGCAGAAAAAGCTCAATGATTGCCTGGAGTGAGTCTGGAGTTGGGCTAAGGGGCCAGGTGTGGCTTGGTCAGAGGATGGCAAAATGTGTTGACAGGCCTCAGGATTGTTTCTCAGGCCTGTTTCCTCTGTTTCTGTAGGGAGCATCTTTCAGAGTCCACTTCCTCCAATGCAGGTACTTGTAGGGATTGACCAGTGTGACCGTAACTCCCTGTAGAGTGACTCTCCAGCCTTCACCTCCTGCTTCCTTAATAATTTCTCCTGCCCACCTACCCTACCCTTACTCCTCTTTGAGCTTCAGCCCATCCCCTGCTCCCAGGCCTTTCACTGTCCCAACTTCTGGATGAAGTGCAAGAGGAACAGGAGCATCAGGGGGCACTAGTGCGTCTGGCCGAGAGCTGTCTCATGCTGTCAGGCCCTTGTACAGCACCCCCGCTCACCCGCTGGGCCACCTCACGCCTCAGGGCCATGGTCAGTATGGGGTTTCCCTTGGGAAATGTCAGGGTAAGGAGTTGGGCAAAGGCCAGGTTGATAGTTCACTTCCACAGAGAGAAGCTGTGTACACTGTCCCCAGCCTATGGTTGCACATCTCTGAGAATGACCAGCGAATTCTGAACTCTTTGGGCCCAGGGCAGAGGACACAGGGTAAGGAGGACTGGAGAGATTCAGAGGAGAGTATCTGGCGGCCTGGTGCCCACAGACCTGATAAGCCTTTCCTGACCTCTAGGCCCTGAATTGCCCCCACCAGACCCAGCTCTTCAGGAACTGTCGCTGACCCTGTTATCTCCTTCCTCACTCAGTTCCTCAGGTAAGGTGGTGCTGAGGCCACAAACATGCACCGCTGTCTGTTGGGTGCCTGGGTTATGCAGGATGCTATGAAAGGGTACACGGCCAGGTAGGGGAGGAACACAGTCCCTGCAGGCCTGCCTAAGCTCACAGGTCACTCGGCTAGTCTGAGCTTAGAAGGCTGTGCCCACAGTGAGTCCCCTCCTCCCCAGGAACCCCTGTCTTACCCAGCCACATGTCATCAGAGGAAAGTGGCGCCAGTGTCAGCCTTCTGCCTGCCCTGTCCTTGGCTGCTTCAGACCCAGTGCAGAAGGGCGGCTCCCAGCCCCTACCGGCCATCTACTCAACCCCTGGACCCTTACCCCCTAGTTTGGTACACTCCAGCCGTGTACCCATCTCTCCACTTCTGAGCTGCACCCCAAGTCTATCACCTCTTGGTCACATCCCCAGTCCACACCAGGCCCATGTGACCAATCCTCAGAAATTTAGCCTGGAGTTCAAGGAACTAGGGTTGCCCCCCAAGAACTGGCAGCATTCTCCAAGGATAAGAACCACTGAGGGAGTCCTGGAGTCCAGTCCTATCTGGGTGAGTATAGCACCCCTACAACTGGAGGGTAGAATGGAGTGGGTCTTGGGTAAAGCTGGGAGGGGGGCTGGGGTAGCCTTGGATGGGGTTAGAGTCCTTTTTGGCCCCTCTTCAGATACCACATCCTTTTCAGGATCCCCCAAAGAGGCATCGTGATGGTTCCACCTTCCAATATGAGTATGAGCCACCCTGCACGTCCCTCTGTGCCCAGGTCCAGTCCGCCAGGTGAGTGCCTGGTGCTGTCCCCATTCTTTTGGCCACTGACCCCAGTCTTCTTTGACCAACACCCATGGTTCTTTTCCCAGGCTCCCTCCCCAGCTCCTGGCCTGGGCCTTGCACTTTCTGATGGAGCCACAGCCGGAATCTGAGCAAACCCAGGTGTGAGGGGTCATGTGACCACGTGGGAGGATGTGTGCATACACAGGTCCATGCCTGTGGCCGGACAAATGGTGCTTCACAGTCTACTTCAAGTTTTTTAATAAAATAATCTCATGCGGCAGGAAAGGAGAAGGTCAGGGGTTGGGGCCGCCGCCTCTTTGGTCTGTGGTTGGGGAAGGTGGACTCTGCTCAGGGCTGGAGGGCTCTGTAGGCTGTGGGGGCAGAGGCTCAGCTCCAAGGCCAGATCCTGCAAAGGAAGAGGGGAGAGAGGAAAGTCAGAACTGGACCGAGCAGTCCTGCTACCCTCCCAGCTGGCCCAGCCCCCTTTTACCTAGGCTTGGAGACGGGGGTACCTCAAGCTTTGGCCTGCGCTTGAGGACAGGGGAGCGCTGCAGCCTCAGGGGCCGTTCTGATGGACATAGAAAGGTGTGGGGTGGGTTGCTAAAGGCTTGCCGCCTGTCCCCAGCCCTCCCCCACAACCTCCAGTGTGCACATGCGCACATAGACACACGCACACACTGTTGCTTTCAGAGCCTCCCCCCACACACATCCTCTCAGAGGTTGCTCTTCTGGAGGTGGAGCCAGGGATAGGAACCACTTGTCAGAGCCTCACTCTTGGCCTTCTGGCTCTCTGATTTCTCAACCCCTCATGCCACCAGCGGTCTCCAGGGACCAGAGCCATGAAGGGAACCCTAGAGCCCACCCACTCCCATCTGCACTCAAGCACACATGGAGGTGTCTTCCCCTCACCAATGGGGGCCTGTAGCTGGTCCTCATGCACAGACACTGCTCGTCGCCCTGCTGAGAGAGGCCTCGGCCTCAGCTGGCCATCTAGGGGAGGCCAGGGTATTAGGGTATGGTCCCACCAGCTGCCCCCACTCCAGCCCTTGCCTCCCACCTTCAGTGTGCCCATTGAAGCTGAGTTCCCAACAGGAATTCCTCTGGTCCCTAGCCCAGTATTGGGGTAAGGGCGACAGTGCCTGCTTACCCTCATTCCTGGGGCCCAAGTAAGGATCTTCTGGAAGACCCAGGCTGTCTCGGGAAGGACTGGCTTTTCGGGGGCTTGGACAAGAAGGGGGGCCTGGACAATCCTGTTGGCCCCAACCACGGCTCCTAAGCTCTGCATTCAGCTGCTGTCCCAGTGTCTTCCAGGTGGCAGACTCAGGCCCTTGGCCCCCTGGCCCAGGTCTGCATGAGGGGTCTGTAAGGAAAATGGTATCAGCCAAGACATGGGCCAGGCATTGGAGATGAGCCTAACCATCGGTCTGCCCCCCTCCTGCCTATCCCTTCATGTTCCCCCGCATGCACAGTGGCCTTCACTCACCAGCAGACACAGAGTGGGTACGGGACTTGATCGAGATGGGAGGGGCCTCCGAGGAACTGTCCATAATGTCACCTGCAAGGCGGGGCTGGGGTCTCAGGCACCAGACCTTGGGGGTGAGGGGAAGAAAAGCCTGGCCTCTTCCCCTCCTCCCCAGGAGAGCAAGTATACTTTGGGGGTCTATCACTAAGAATATCTCCCTCCCTGAAAATGTACTGCCCTAGCCCAAGATCCCACTTACCATCTGAGCCAGCCTTCTTGATTTCTCCATCTTTGCTCTGTAAGAAACAGGGAAGTCAAGCTCAGTCTTGCACTGACCTCACCCTGCTTTGTCCTTTTGTTCATTCTTATTCTTATAACTACCACTAAATGCCCACTGTGGGCTAGGCAAGAACATGGCAAACTCAGTCCTGGCCTTAGAGTTCAAAGTTTGGGATGGTGGACAGTTAACACAGAAACATCCATATGCATGCACAGACACACAATGTGATTTCTTAAACTCTGATTCACTTTCTACACGTTGTTTCTAAATTCATGCTGAGGCTCACATCATATGTGTTCCTTATTTTCCTGAAAGATTATAAAATGGATAGTTCATAGGGCTGTGGTTCTTATTACGGACTGTGATTACAGTGGCATTAGTAGGGTGACCATAGAAGAGAGTCAGGGAAGGCCCATAGGGAAATGCAGAGATTGATGAAGAGGAACTTGGTTTAACACACGGTTGTTGAGGAGCAGGAAGTGGAGCAAGGAGGTGCCCCAGACAGGACATGTATGGAGGCTCTGAGATGCAACTAGGGGTGGAAAGCAGTGAGATGAAAGTGACCAGGGCTAAGACCCCACAGGGGCTTGAGAGAAAGCCCCAGGAGGACTTGCTGTTTCAAATGCAGATGACAAGTCAGATTTCTGTTAGATCTGCAGAGAAAGGACCACCCCATCTCCAAGGAGGAAATAACAGTGGCCAGGGCAGAAGCCAAGAGGAGAGAATGGTTGAAGCTGATGACTCTTGAGGCGGAAGGAATGGAACTGACCTGTGTGTCATGAATCTCCTGGTCACATATGTCACCCACAGACTGCCACATCACCTGCCCCCTCACTTTGCACTTGTGTCCCTCTCAACTCACTTGCTTCCTCTTGCCTTCAGCACTCCCACTGCCTCTGCTCACACCGATTCTCTGCAGCATCACTTGTACCCGTTGTTCAAAGGATGGGGCCAGCTCTGTGTCTCCCCGCTCCAGGGGCCGCCTCTGGGGACAGAGATAGCCGAGTGGGAAGAGAGTCTGCTGCCCTCGGTTCCAGCAGAGCCCTCACCCCTTGTCACCAGGCCTCACCTTGTCAGGTCTGGTACCCAATGTTGCCTCTTCCTCCTCAGCAGGTAGCAGTATCATTGAGTAGGCCTTGCTTTCCCTAGTGTAGCGAGGCCGACCCCTGCGAGCAGGGTCAGGGCTGCTGGTGCCCCCGTCAGCTCCACCAGGCTCTTCACCTCGGCCAGGACGTGCTGGTGGCCGCAGCAGGTCCCCAAGTGTGGTTTTTCGAGTGCGGGGAGCTGTCCCAGGGCTGGTCTCTAGGTCAGGCCGTGGCCCCCGTGTTGAACGAGGCTTCTTGAAGGCAAAGAGGGTACCCAGCTTCTTTCGCAGCGTACGGGGGACAGGGGTGGTACCCCCCTCAGTGGCCGGGTCCTCCTCGGGGGCCCAGCTGTGGGAACAGCCAGAAGTAAATAGGAAAGCCCATGGAGCAGCTTACCTTCTCCCACCCCCTGCAATTGCCCCTCACTCACAGGTGATCTTGCTGGATTAGCCTTTTGGAGAAGAATTCTTCCACGCCCTCGTCCACACGGGCACTGAGCCCATTCCCTTCCTGCGGTAGGGCTGGGGGCACCTAGGGGACACCACACAGTCGGGTCAGGGCTGAGTGCTCCCCACCTCCCTTTTCCAACAGCCTGCCCTAGGTAACTCAAGGACCTGGGAGCTTATGTGACCCTAGTGAGCTGCTAACACACAAGCACTTCCTCTGTCTAGCTGATCGGCAAAGACGCTGATTTCACATACACCCTCGCCTGTAGTTGGCCCTGAACGCATATCCAGCCCACACCCATTCTTGTCCAATGGAGTATATCCTACACATCTTGAACAACCCCGGTCACCAGCAGTCTAAAACACACAGTCCCCCTGGGTCACACGTTCTCACCTGCCACCCCATCTGCTCCAAACAGTTCCCTGCAGTATCCCCCACCCCCACCCCACCCGGCCTGCTGCTGTTCAGCAGTACCGGCTGCTGCGTCAGACCCTCTGGGGGTGCCTCAAGCCGGCTCCTCCTCTCCTTCTGCCCTGTGTCCACTGCCCCTAACAGTACCTGGTCCACACATACATCTCCCCGCGCATACAATACACCAGCAGGATGTGCAGTAGACACAGGATTGTCCCTGCAGTACGAGAGCCTAGTATCTTTCAGCAACCCTAGAGGATGGAGGATAAGACAGCCACCCTCTCTCACACATCCACCCATGCAGCAGGCCAACCTGAGGCAGTCTCACACCAAGTGCAACCCCAAAGTAGCCCACACACCCATGACCCTGCATGGGTATGGCCTCAGGTGGGGGTGGCCAGGAAGAAGCCACGACGAGGCCACATGACCAGGTGGTCTTGGGCCCCCACAACCCACCTCCCTGCCCACCGTCACCAGTGCAGAGCAAGTGGGCCACCTGCGACTCCCAATTCTACAAGCTCAGGAGTGGGGGGGAGGGCGCTCACCTGGGGACCCCCAGGCGGTGGGCGGTGGTGGTGCTGGCGCCGTGGCCGTGGCCGGGCCCGGGTCGGATGGCGCAGGGGCTGTCCGGTGGGTGGCAGGTCCATGCGAGGCAGCGGGCCTGCCGGGGACCCAGGAGCAGCGGGGCTCGGAGAGCCGCGTGCTGATGGGCCCGCCTGCGGCTCCGCATCCTCCCCAGGAGCCGCCAGCTCGGGCTCTGGTTCCTCAGCAGCACCTGAGGAGAGAGCACCAGAAGAGCACCAAGCGCGGAGCCCAAGGAGGTGGCAGTGGCGGTGTTCAGGCAGCGGGGGGACCCGCCCAGAGCGCGGGGAGGGGCCCCGGCTGCACCGCCCGCCCCCCCGCCCCTCCCCCGCAGCCGCTGT